TTTTTAAAAGAAATTTACATTTGATTTTGGTAGATTCTAACCCATTGTGTAGAAAAGTATGTTCTTGTTATGTATTGTCCATGTTTGATTCTTTATCCAGGTAGGGAATTGATTTATTTTTCTGAAAACATTCATGGACATTTAAAGGAAGATAAAACAGCATAAAAGATGTAAATCTTATTTATTTTTTTATGTGATATATTTAATGCATATGATGTGGATTTAAGATTTTATGCAATTATGTTCTAGATTACTTATATCAGACAAAGAACCTCACTGAAGTATTGCGGATCCAGGTTTTAACTATGTTTCCCTGACCTTATTGTCTGTCTCCTGTTGCTGGGCAGGAATCAGAATGCGGGCTACTGATTGGCTGAGTTTGTGAGCAGCTCTTGAACAGCCACTTAAATTCTTGAGCTTTTTGAGCAGGCAGATTGTAGGCTAAGACATTACAGCTTTTGGTAATACTTCCTTTTGTTGTTTCATAGCTGTGATCTCTTTGCTAGAAAGAAGAGTGAAAGGAGTGGGTGGAAGAGGGTGAAGCAGAGAAGAAAATAATGGTTTCACTTAAAGAAGAGGCTCATTGGGCTTTCCTTAAAAATAATTTACCCAAAATTTGAAAAAAATTTCCAAGCCATAGAGACTTATTTGCAGGTAACACTCCCTTCTTGGTTACTTAAATATAAATTCCTTTGGTAAAGGTGAAGCCCTTGTTATTGCTGTAGAAAGATTTTATTAATGATGGTATTTCCCCATAGTTCTTGAATCTGAATATATAGAGTAGGGACTTAAAAATACATTTTTTTGACTATCTTTGTCCTGAAAAAACGTTTTCAGGAGAAAGTAGTTAAATCACATTTTACACATTTACTGTTAGGTATGGCAGACATTTTCTGCTGTAAAATATAAATGCTTTTTCCTGTGAAAATGAATTTCAGTCATATGAGAGCTTCATGATTTTAGTGTTCCCACCTAAAGAAATATTTCTTTTGTAGAATAGTTTTGTGAATGGCATCTCAGTTCCAGGTGATGGTATTTAAAATGATTCTTAGAAATGTTTTGTTCCGGTAATACAGCCATGGAGACTTGTTTGCAGGTAACACACCCTTCTCTAATGGGTATCTTTCTTAAATATAGTTTGCTTATGCAAAATAGATTTTTAAAAACTTACTGTTGATTGGTTTGCACAGATATGGCTGAACTAGTTTGAACTGGTTGTTCATGCTACTTCCTTATTGCTTTGTCTGTTTTTCATTATACTTAGAACCCATAAAAGATCTGGTAAATGACTGTAGTGTGCTCCCTTGTGGGTATAGATGGTAGTTATTCTGTAATTCTTTGTACAGTACTTTATTATTACTGAATTGAATGGCAATTTTGTTGATAAAACCAGCTTGCTTGGATAATATTTATTTTTATTAAATGTTATTTGGTGGTGGCAATTTAATATTAAACATGATGTTTACATGTTGGATTTTCTAATTCATATACAAAATACCAAAAATACTTAAGAGAAATTTGTCTCAGATACTCTAGTTTATACCTAAAAACGTTCTGAATAAACATAGACAATTATGATAATAACATTTATTGAGTGCTTACTATGTTCTAAGTGCTTAATATATAGACTCTCATTTAATCATCACTACAACCTCTGTGGCAGGTACTGGTATTATTTAGTTTCAGGTAGCTGAAATGAAACATTGAAATGTTAGGTAACTTGCTCTGTGTCAGTTAGTAAGTACATGGGAGAGCTGGAATTCGAATCCATGTTTTTGTCTGCAGAATTCATGTTCTTAATGGGGTTACTAAAAATTAGGAAAATATACTTCTTTTTAGAGGAATGTATGCTTTTAATGCAACTGGCAATACCTGCCTGCTATCCATATAACAGATGAGCGGTGTAGATATTATGAGGTCAAAATCCAAAAGAATTGCGGTTCAGTATTTGAAAATACTTTTTTTTCCAGTATTTGAAAAATATAGGTAACCTTACTTCTTATATTATAAATTGAATTATTTTTGTATGTTTGGAGTCAGCAGGGAAAAGTGACTATAAAATTTGCGTTGTATCTTCTTTGCAGAAAATTTTTCAGTTAGCATGAGTTTGGAATGGATAGTGGGTGGGAAAAAACTTGTTTAAATTTTAGACCGCAATTAATAACCCTTAAAATAGTGCCTATGATATTTTTCCATTGAAATTTCTGTTCCGTTGAAAGATCATTTTTATAATTAGTTTTTACTCAGTTCCATAATTTAAAAGGCTAGGAAGACTAAGAAATGTATTGTAAGTAATTGGCTTAAAGTGAAAGAATGAATGCCTAATGTACCACAACCCAGAAGTACTGTGACAAAGTGGTAGGTTCTCAAGCTGTTTTGGTCTCTAGCCAATAGAGCAGGCTGTTGTTTTATGCCTTTCAGCCAAAGGAACAATGGGACAGTAAGAACACACCTGTAACTGAACAAGTTGGGTTTATTATTTGTTGCAGTGAGGGAGAATGCTCACCATGGGGAAACTGTGAGGCACATCAGTAAGAGACTGTTAGAAAAAAACCCTAGTATACAATTTGGTTGTAGTATAGAATAGGTTGGATTATTTTGGGGAGGATTTGAAGACGTACAGCCTCATTCCGGATTGGGTGCTGTCAGAGTTTGGGGGCAGTTCTGTGCTTGGGTATTTCAATAAATTTTATCTATAGGGAGGACAGACTACAGTGAGAGTGAAGCTGCAGTTGATAAAGAAGTAGCTGTCACCAAGCCATCACTTGGTCAGAGAGGGAGATGTTTGGTATTTTATAGGTTGCACAGTGACCTTGTCTAATTTGAATGTTGAGGTGGTTTTATGTCCAAAAGGAAAACAACATGGCTTAGCTGTAAGCATCAAGTCAGTTTATAATAACATTGAGGCCTAACTGGGAGCCTCAGATAAATTCTCAGATGTCAGAGCCTGCTTTTTTCCTTCTCCAGCCAAAGCAAGTGTCATTCCCACTGGTAATGGTGATGGTAAGTGAATATCCAATATGAAAGCAGGTTTCTTCCTCCTTTACCTCTTAGTTCTTAAAGGACTTTTATTCCACTATAGAATGATGACAGTGTCTTTCTCCAGGACCAAATCCTTGCCCTCTTTTGTTTGCCTTACTGCACTGGCTAGACGTTAACATAGAAATGATGACAGAGAGCATCTGAGTCAGTGTTGAGTTTTTGTCAAATGAATGAATATTCTGTATTTGTTGAGCTAATCTTTTGTTTTCATCCTCTGTTCTGTTAATGTGGTGAATTACACCGCTTGAATTTTTTTTTCTTAAATTTATTGTCTCACTGTTCTGGAGGCTAGAAGTCTGAAATCAAGGTGTTGGCAGGGCCGTGCTCCCTCTGAAGGACATAAAGAAGGATCTGTTCCAGACCTCTCTTTCAGTTGTGGTTTGTGGCAGCCTAACTCCAGTCTACACATGTTCTCCCTGTGTGCGTCTGTGTCCAGATTTTCCCCTTTTTATAAGGACGCCAATTGTATTGGATTAGGACACACCCTAAGGACCTTATTTTAACTTGATTACCTCTGCAAAGACTCTATTGAATTTAAGATCACATTCTGTGGTATTGGGGCTTAGGGCTCTAATGTATTTTTATCAAGTGGACACCTTGGTTGAGTCTGAAATAAAGCCATAATGCTTCATGACACTCTCTCGTAATCTACATTGCTTGATTTTTGAATATGAAACCAATTTTGTATTTTTTTAATGAGCTTCATGTGGTCATAATATATTACCTTTTAAAGAAACATACTTCTAAGTAACTCATAGATGAAAGAAGAAATAACAATGGAAATTAGAAAATATTTTAACAGAACAATAATGTAAATAGGATACATCAAAATGTGAGATGCAGCTAAAGTAGTGCTTAGAGGGAAATTTATAGCTTTACATGCGTACATTACAAAATAGGAAAGATCTAAAATTAATGATTAATGTTTAACATGTTGAAGAACTGCCAGACTGTTTTCCAAAGCAGCTGCACCATTTTGCAATCCCACTAGCATTGCATGAGGATTCCACTTTGTCCACATCCTTGCCAATACCTGTTATTCTCTTTGATTATAGCCATCCTGGTGTGTGTGAAGTGTTATCTCATTGTGGTTTTGATTTGCATTTCTCTGCTAACTATTGATGTTGAACATATTTTGATGTTTATTGCTTATTGGCTGTTGGCTTATTGGCTATTTGTATATCTTTTAGGGAAATGTCTGTTCAAGTCCTTTGCCCATTTTTAAATTGTGAATTGTGTTACTTTTATTGTTGTTGTTCAGTTGTAGCAGCATTTTATACTTTCTAGATGCAAGTCTCTTATCAGATACATTATTTGCAAATCATGTATTTGCAATATATTAAAAAAATACTGCAATATATTAAAAAAAAGTCAAAAAAAAATAATAAGTCAAATATTTGCAAATATATGATTCGCAAGTATTTCCTTCTATTGTATGAGTTGTCTTTTCACTTTCTTTATGGTAATTTCTTGTTAATATATTTATAGTTGTTAATCTAGATATGCCTGGTTGCAAATGTAATCTTTCTTTACATGTTCCTTAATTGTCCCTTCTTTTTTCCCTTATCTCTTTACCTTTTCCCATTCCCCTACCGCTTTCATTCTCTGGTACTTTTATTTTTCTTTCTCTGTCTACTTTTTTACTTTATCAACTTTTTTAATGCTTACGTGTCTCCTCCAGACTCTGAATCCAGTAGCTGACTGAAAATGAAAACTAGAAACTAGGCACTTTTTTTCTAATACCTCCTAGTAATCGATCTTCTATGGACTGTACCTATTATCAATTTTATATTACATAAAACCAATAAATAGGAAAATTAACACAAAGCAAGGATTAGTCATTATTTCAAAGTTACATGAAGTGCTGCTTGGTTATAAGATCAATTTACAGTAAGTCTGTAATTAGGTGGCTTCTGTTTAATCAACTATTTAAACTCTCTCTTTTTCTCTTTTTCAAGGTTCAAAATGGATGGTATAGAAGAACCTCAAAAAAAAGTCTTTAAGGCTCGAAAAACGATGAGAGTGAGTGATCGTCAACAACTTGAAGCAGTGTACAAGGTCAAAGAAGAACTGTTGAAAACTGATGTCAAGCTATTAAATGGCAACCATGAAAATGGAGATTTGGACCCAACCTCACCTTTGGAAAATATGGATTATATTAATGACAAAGAAGAGGTGAATGGTATTGAACAACTTTGTTTTGACTCTGAAAAAAGTAAATCAGAATGGAAAGAAACACCCTGTACCTTAAATATTAATGTAAAAAACAAGCAAGATGATGATTTAAAGTGTGAACCTTCATCTCCTAATAATATAACTCCTGAACTAGCCTCTAAACTGACTGCTGAACCAGCTTCTGATCCAGCCTCTGATGATCTGGCTATTGGAGATCCAGCCTCTGGAGATTCAGCCTCTGGAGATCTGGCTTCTGAAGTATTAGCCTCTGGTGATCCCACCTCTGGTGATCCCGCCTCTGGTGATCCTGCCTCTGGTGATCTCACCTCCGGTGATCCTGCCTCTGGTGAACCTGTCTCTGGTGAATCCATCTCTGGTGAATTGGTCTCTGGTGAACCCGTCTCTGGTGAGCTGATCTCTGGTGAACCGGTCCCTGGTGAACCAGTCTCCGGTGAACCAGTCTCTAGTGATCTGACCTCTGATGATTCAGCCTCTGGTGATCCAGCCTCTGGAACATTGGCCTCTGAGGATCCAGCCTCTAGTGATCTGGCCTCTGGTGATCCAGCCTCTGATGAACCGACTTCTGATGAACCAACTTCTGAATCAGCCTTTGATCGCACCTTTGAACCAACTTCTGTACCAGTTTGTGAACCAGTTCCTGAAACTGACAATATAGAGTTTAGTAGCAATAAAGGTGATAATTTTCTTGAAAAAAATAGGGATGATGAAAAGTTAGACCAAATTTTCTCATTTGATGAGAAAAATAAAGTTGATAGTAATATTGATGCTGATGGAGAAACTCTAGAAACAGATGACACAGTTATTTGTTCAGATCTACCTCCTGAAAATGAAAAGAAGGTGGAGAAAGATGCTATCATAGAACCTGCTCTTGGAGAGGAGGCTATATCTAGCAGTATGGAAATTGACCAAAGTGAAAAGAATGAAGATGAGAATTCTGCAGAAGACCTTCCAGAAACCATTAGTGAAAATGTTATGAAAGATAACAAAAATGAGAATATCTTAGAAAATACAGATTCTTTGGAGACAGATGAAATCATTCCTATTTTGGAAAAACTTGCACCTGCTGAAGATGAACTTACTTGCTTTTCTAAAACTTCTATCCTTCCAATTGATGAGACAAATCCAGATTTGGAAGAGAAGATGGAAGGCTCTTTTGGTTCACCATCTAAACAAGAAAGTAGTGAGAGTTTGCCAAAAGAAGCCTTTTTGGTCCTCTCTGATGAAGAGGATATTTCGGGTGAAAAAGATGAGTCTGAAGTTATATCACAAAATGAGACATGCTCTCCAGGTTAGCATTTTATTTAAATTTTAAAAATTTTGATTAACTTTGATAAACTGCTTAATAAAACATTCTTATAAAGTTTTAAATTTATTTTAGTTGCAAAGAAAGTTGAGAATGATGGTGACTAGAATGAACTCTTAACTTCGTAGATTCTTAACTTCACAGAATTCAGAATTACGAAGTATCCACTCTCTGAGCAGTGTTATGTGAAGTGCTAAGAAGGAAAATAAAATAAGTAGGAAATATGGCCCCTGCCCTTAAAGGGCTTATAGTCTAGAAAGAGAGATAAAATAGACCAACATAACACTATGAGATTACAATTTCAAATCAATGCATAATTGATCAGAGTCCTCACAATTGTTCTTGCTATCGTTTAGTAACTAAATAATTTAGAATCTAAAAGCCTACTAGTTTATTTGCTTCAAGAGTAACAAATTATGTTTTACAGTTTTCCCGTTGACATCTGGTTCTTTTAACATTCTTTGTCTGGGGAATGGCACAACTATTGCCAGAAGCCAGAAACCTTGAAACCTGATTATCTATTTGATGAAGACTTCATCCATTTCCTTCCTCAGCCCTCTTGTTTACCCAGCCTACTCTCTTCCCCCCTCATTTTCTGAATGATCTCTATAACCTAAATCTCTTTTATTTGATTGTATTCCTCTCTTTTGTTAGATCCCTATTACTTTTAGGTTAATTCCAAACTCCTTATATAAAAGGTATGTAAACTTGATTATTTGCTCAGTGCCTGTCTTTCTCATCTCTTTTATTATTCCTAGAGAAAAAGGAAAGAAAGAAAAATCCTACTTTGCTTTTTGGTCAAACTCAAACATCATTCCTGTATGAAACTTTCTCTATTCCTTTCAGACTGGCGTCAGTACTTTTGTGTTCCTATTGTATCACATTCTCTTATACATAGAGCTCTGTGAGAGGAGTGACCTTATAGCATGAAACACAGCATCTGGTTTCTGGTTAGTTCAAATTAAAAAAAAATGAAGCAGGCCTAGGAGACATAGAGGATTTTTTCCTCAATATATCATATCAGCTTTTGGAAGTAGAGTTTTTTTTTTTTTTTTTTTGTGCTAAGGAATATTAGCCCTGAGCTAACATCTGTGCCAGTCTTCCTCTATTTTGTATGTGGGTCGCCACCACAGCATGGCTTGATAAGTGGTGTAGGTCTGCACCCAGGATCCAAACCCGCGAACCTGGGCAGCCAAAGAACATGCGGAATTTGAACCACTCGGCCGTGGGGCCAGCCCCCTAAGCAGAGATTTTTTTTATTATTAAAAGATGACTTCATTTCCAAAGAGCATTTATTCATTCTTTAAACCTGTATAGAGAGACAGGCCAGGCTTTTCTTGGTTCTAGGGGTTTAGAGATAAAATATAGTACTTGCCCTCAGGTTGCAGACAAGAATTAAAACCACGCCATTAAACACAAGGCTGTGAACACAGTAATAATGTTAAATTGGTATTCTGGGAGTTGAGAGGAGGGTAACTTTATGAGACTATAAGATTTATTCAGGAAAGCACTTGCCTTTCGCTATCTGTATAACATAGGATTTTAATGAAGATAATTTCTCTTAATGGCAACTCCATCCTGCTTGCTCAGGCCAAAAACCTTAGAGCCATTCTTATTTTTTTCCTTCCAATCCATATCCATCCATCAGGAAATCCTGTTGGCTCTACCTTCATAATAGATCTGGAATCCAGTCTCTTACCATCTTCACTGCTTCTGCCCCTGCTCTGAGCTACCGTCATCAGGCCAAAATAATGCCTAGATCATAGTAAGTGCTCAGTAAATATTTGTGGAGTTAATGAATAATTGGTAATAAAGGTATATCATGGAGGACCTTGTTTACAATCCTAAAGCATTCTGATAGCACCTGGGAGCCACTGAATGATTTCAAGCAGGGTGAAATTTACATTTTGGAAAGATAATAGGTAACAATGTTTAGGGTGAACTTCACTCATTCATTCATTAAATATTTATATAGAGAGTGGTATTGGGGCAAGTCCTTAAAAAAACCTTTTGGTAGTCTGTATAAGAAAGTCATAGCAAGTTGCAGCTTATTATTTAATGAATTTATGCATTTTACTTTTGTGTCTTGTTATTGGAGACCATCCCTCCAAAACAATGCTGTTAAATGCAAAGAGATTAATATTAAGCTATCCATGTTACATACTTTGAAAATTCAAAGTTGGGTTTATTTTTGGTTACTTACTTTTAGACTTGTATCTGATTGTGTACTATTAGCAGAGTAAGTTTGGTAATAGATGTAATTTCTTAGCTGGTAACTAAACTTTTTTTTTCTGTCTCCCTCCTGCCCCACCCCAAAGGAAATTTTGTGTACTGTGGGTTGAAGTATAGTTTCTTCATTGGTTCTTAAACTGTATTTTGTTCTGTTTATATGGTAGCAGAATCTGTTAACATGTCATATTTGTTGCTGTGCACCTGCTGAGGTATTACTTTCTTCACATTCTTTATTCTTGACTAATTTTTAATGTTTTCAGAACACAGAATTATAAATTAGAAATTCTGAAGTCTGACTCTTCCCTCTTAACTATTAACACTTATGTGTTGTACTAATAGGAAAACATAACCCTCTGTCATTGCAGATGATTCTTTTGCAAATTTATTTTAAATATAACAGTTATGATGGGTATGAGCAGCAACAAAAAGTAATGGAAGATATCAGAAAGCAAATAGAAAAGCTAGTTTAATTTTGCAAAGGTGAAAGAAAGACCTAAAAATGTATTACAGTTATAACTTAGTAGGCCTGAAGACACTGTCAGATTGTTACATAGTACTATATAATAACTGATACTCACTAAATGATTAAAATCATAGTCTGTTTAAGAAGGCTAGGAAAATAAAGATTTCTCTCTGGGAAAGTTTAAACACTGCAGGAGGTACACACGTCAGATATACCTTTTATGCACTCTCCATACCATGTACTCTCCTCTAGCTACTGTTCCATCTCTTTCAGAGCCATTCTTCAAGTTATGTTAACAAAGCTAGCATCAGTTCTTCTCTTCCTGTTTACTCTTTAACTTAATTGAATTTTGATTTCCACCTGGCTAAGCACCCTCCTGATTGTCCTCAGTGAAGTGACATTGATGTTAATGTTGTTAAATCCAGGGGCGTCTTTTTTGTCTTTGTCTCTTAGTGAGCTTATTGTCTAGTTTGGTTGAAAGGAAAGAATACCACACGTAGAACTGTATATGAACATGTGCCAACTTGTAATGAGGCTGTACAGTCATGCGCCACCATAACGTTTTGGTCAACGACGGACCACATATATGACAGTGGTCTCATAAGACTAGTACCATACAGCCTAGGTGTGTAGTAGGCTATACCATCTAGGTTTGTTTAAGTACACTCTATGATGTTTGCACAACGACGAAATTGTCTAACAACACATTTCTCAGACCATGTCCTCGTTAAATGGCACGTGACTGTACTTAAGACCAGAGGGATTATAGCAAAAACTATCTGTGAATGAAGACAGATTCTAAAAAAGGCAGTCTTAACCTAAATATTTGGAGGAGTTGTAGGAGTCCCAAGAATTACATGAAATTATTATATAAAAATGTCTGTGTCCCTGGGCCTTTGGTTATTATTCTCAGTTGAAGGAGGTCCACTCAGATTCTCTGGAGGCTTTGTGAAAAAAAATTAAAGAAATATAGGGCCTTACTTCTTTCTGTAGAATCTGCTAATACCATTTTTCTTATCCAAAGTTCTTTCCATCGACTAAAACTTGAGCATACATTTTAATTCTGTGTGTGTCTTTTCTAAAATCCCAATGAGTGTTTTGATTTAAATGTTGAGAATCCAGTCATGTCCTCTAAGCATATCTAGAAAATGGAAATTGGGTGATAGGAGGAGATTTTTGAGTAAAATGAAGGAATTTCAAGCTAAGCTTGACATATCTATAAGAGGAGAGGGAGCTAACATAAGTATAAAAGAGGCAGGCCCATTTGCTCTGCTGTGTTCTGGCTGATCTCGCTTGCAGTTACTCTAATTGGAGCCATGGCTAATTTTGTTCTTTGGGTGATATGACGATTTGCTAAATAAAGACTATGTAAACCTTCATCTCTAGCAACCCAGTTATTCTGTGCTTCTGGAAACTCTGGGGACTAGGAAACTCAGGAGTCATCACCCTCGATATTAAAATCAGGAAATGTATAGTTATATATAGAAAAAAATGCTCTGTAATGAGTTTGCTATCTATAAAGAAGCAAAACAAATCTTCATTTCATTGAAACTGGGGTTGAGTGATGAGATCTTAAAACATTTCTAATGAGCATAGCAACGTAAATGGAAAGTTAATTTTCTAATGCTCATTTATTTTAAAGTTTAAACATATTTTTAGTAATCTTTATGTACTGTATTAGCTTTTTTGTTTTGTTTTACAGCTTTATTGTTTTTATCTTAGTGTGAAAAAAATATTTGTAAGAACCTTAATACGTCTATCAGTGGTCCTTGTCTACACCTATTTTCACCAAGGTCTTTTAAGTTTTTTTAACCTTGGCTTCTACCATCAGGGCTATGGGGATTAAAACCCTGGTGTTGAAGAAGAAATGCCATATCAAAATCTTTATATAGTGCTATATACCTTATGATTGCTTAATTTTTGTTGCAGAATATGAAGAAACATAGCATGCTTTATTGAAGTCACTGGGGAGCCAGTTGCAGTGATATAAGGGGAAAAATAGAAACCCAAACCTATTAATGATTTGTTCTTCTCCATTTAATGATTAAGTTAGTTGAGGAGATACAGAGTGATTGACCAAAGGCCATTTCTGGTACCTCTGGGATTTTATTTGTTATAACAACACAATTGTATAGACATGTTTAGCAATATTTCTTGGTAGCACTCTTTAATTGTTATATTTTATATGCCTCTTGTGAAAATTACTTAACCTTTCTGAATATTACTTTACTCATCTGTACGATAGCAAAAATACTGTTTATAGTGTAGGATTATATTGAGGATATGAAGTAATATATGTCAAACGCCTAGCTCAGTTGTTGGCACTGGTATCAAAGTAGCTACTTTTATAAGTAAAACTTTTACTATCTTTAGAATAGCTTTTCCATTCCTATTTTATGAACTATCCCATAACCATTAAAATAACATAATGGTTCAACCTGTCTGGTCAAAATATTAGGTGTTTGGAATTTGCCAGTAATTTGTAATTTTTTATAATTGTCACACCACTTTTAATTTTAATAATTGAATATAAAGGAGTCTAAGTGCTTTACAGTAGCTTTCACGTTTTGCTAATCTTTTGATGACAGTAAATTACTAAGTAAGACTTTTTATTTTAAAATCTATGCTATTAAGTTTTTTTCATGTTAAGAGTTTATTATGAATTTGCAGGGACATTTGAAAGTGGACTTAGTCATTCATTTCTACCAATTCATGCTCCTTTTATATTCCCAAAATTTTGCATTTTGAGACTCTGATTTCATAAAAGATTATTAATTACTTACACCAAAAGTATAAATTATGATGAGTTGCTATGAATTTTAATGGAAGTAAGATTTCCTTATCTATTTTTGTCACAGCAGAAGTAGAAAGTAATGAAAAGAACAGCAAACCTGAGGAAGAAGAGCAAGTAATACATGAAGATGAAAGACCTTCTGAGAAAAGTAAGCATGTACAAAAACACCTGAGCTAGTTTGAAAAATAGTAATTCATTGTTTCTGCTTTTAAGGCTGTGGAATGTACTTTTCTGTGTATGAGATGACTGTAAAATTTTGCGATTTAAGTAAGCCACAGTTGAATCATTTAGATCTATGTTTAGAGCATGGGACTATAAGAATTTTGTCTGGGGTGCTATAAGTGAATGGAAGTGTGTCTCTCAGTCTACTTAAGGTTCTTCTGCTTCATGGGGAGGGGGAATGATGGGACTGAGTATCACTGAGTTTATAGGAAGATCACTGGACTAGAAGCTAGGAAACCTGGGTTCTATAACTCTCCCTGTCATACTGCTCTCCATGTATCACTATGTAAGTTATGATTACAAGAGAAGTCAGAGGGTAAAACTGGATTTAAAAAACCGGCACATAGATATAGATATAGGATATAGAGTGAAGTGGAGAGGGGTAGCTCTGGTCACATAAGGACATTTGCCTTTAAATAAGTGTGTAGATTTTAGTATTTTCACTTTTTATATATTGGAAAAGAAACCAGATAAAATTTGCTTATGATCTCGTGAATGTTACCAGTATTTGAAATTTTCTAACTGAAGATCTTTCAGTATCTATTCTTTACCTAATTTACTTTTATAATGACATTAATTTTATTATTTTTATATATTTGAAATTCATTAGGCTATGTTAAGAATAACTATCATCTTATTTTCCTAAGGCTGATGATTAAGTAAGAATTTTTCCTAAATTTACTGAGGAGAAAGAATTAAATAATTAAAGCTATGCATATTGTTAGAAATCTGTGACATGAGAATGAATACTGTATTTTGTCAAAAGATTCATGTACACTATAAAATTTAGCAAAGGAAATGAAAATAAGATGGTTTCTTCTCGAATCTCATGTTCATATTTTTAGGCAATTTTCTATCTTAATATGAGATTTCAAGGAAAGAATGTTCTATGATCACATTGTACATTGCTTAGCCATTAGGAAGTTCTTATTTAGCATATTGAAAATCATTTCAAGTTTGAAGCTAAAAGCTACTTACCTAATTTTCTGATCTCAAAAACAATTCATAAAATAATTGAGAATGCTGTTGTGATAGCTAGAAATAATATTTTGCTGAGGATGGAGAATAGGCATTAAGGTCTATATATATATATTTGAACACCTGACTCATCATTATGCTTTTTTTCCTCAGGTGAATTTTCCAGAAGAAAACGTTCTAAATCAGAGGACATGGACAATGTCCAGTCCAAACGCCGTCGATATATGGAAGAAGAGTATGAGGCAGAATTTCAAGTAAAGATTACAGCCAAAGGAGATATTAACCAGAAGCTACAAAAGGTGTTATAGATTTTTAGTTAAGAGCTGTGTTAAATAAAAAGCACTCCTATCTTTATTCTTCTAGGTTTTTGACATTATTCTGTATTTTACTGATATATTCAGGTTTTTCATGGAAAGAGAGAACTTGAAGATAGTGGTTGAGCTTGTTATCCTTAATAATTTAATTTTAAAATTTCTTCTGACTTTTTTAAAGCTACATAATTTTTTTTAGATATGGTAGTAATTATCAAAATAGAAGAGAGATGTGATGACTTCTTTCTTTATTTGCTTTAGTAAGAAAACTGAATATCAATTTGCAGATTTTATTTTTTCTTCTATATTGAACTTTATTCTAGTGGAAACAAAGGGTTATATGTTAGCATTTTAATCTTTATAATAAGCTGGTTTCATCGTTGTAAGTCCCTACATTAGAAAATCTTTGTTGTGTACTTTAGGCTTAGTATTAAAATGGTGGGGACAAGGCTTTAGGACTAGAGAAAAGGGAGTATTTAAAGTACAGGCTTTGGAAACCTCCCCCTATATCTGCTAACCTAGAGATAGAAATACTGAAAATATGCCCTATTTTAATATGTTTTTCAAAATGTGTTCACGAATATTTATGACAAATGCCTTTTTAAGAGAAGAATATGAAATCCAGGTGAAATTAATTTTTTAAGGTCTTATAGATTTAATGATGAAATTATAAATAATCTAGGTTTTAGACCAATGTTATTCCACTAAGACACAATATAAATATCTGCACTAGAAAAAGGAATAGTGAGGCAGTGAAAATTGGCTTTTTTTCCTCCCAGTCTTTTTATTTGTCATATGGAGATAATAATGTTTATTTAATCTGTCGCATAGCGCTGTTAGATAGCTCTGTATAGATAGCTATGTGGAATAATTTTGAAAACTTCTATGTGTAGTGAGGGTTTACTCCTCTAGAACAGTGTTATTCAAGTATGGTCCATGGACATGCACCATGTGTCCTGTTGTGGGTCCATAAGGAGATAAATATGGAAGTTGTGAGTAGGCATTTAGAAATGTTTTATAGAAATTTCATAGTGCAGTGACATTCTTAGTGTCTCACAAAAATATTGTCTGCAATAGATTAGAAATTTTAAAAACTGGTCTTTTTCTTTAACTGATTTCCTTTAAATCATGATAAAAGGTTTGGGAAGAAAATATTAAAAGTTCAATTTCAAATTATTTTTAAAATTTCACTCTCTGAAAATTTTCTATGTTTAGTATGTATTATTTTTCTGTGATAGATGTTATATATGTAGAAGTGGAGGCTTTCAGCAGATAGCATTGTTTTATGGATGCCAGCATGTTTTTTCATTAAACTAGTTAATACATTAGTACAATCTTATTAGTACTTAAGAATATTTACTGTTTGCTGCTTGCTGACGTGTTCTTTGCTGTAACAGAGGAATATGTATTTCTTTAGGTTGTACAGTGGTTGCTGGAAGAAAAATTGTGTGCGCTACAGTGTGCTGTATTTGATAAGACTTTGGCAGAATTGAAAACACGAGTGGAAAAGATTGAATGTAACAAGAGGCATAAAACAGTTCTTACTGAACTACAGGTTTGTACACTGACTTGAGTTGTATACTCATGTATATCGTTTTTATAACTCATTGCTGGGGATACATTTTCAAAGTTGACAATAAAGTACATTTAACTTCTAAATATTAGAAGTAAAAGGAACCTCTATTAGTTTGCTAGGGCTGCCATAAAAATAGTAACATAAACTGGGTGGCGTACAGAAACATACTATCTCATAGTTCTGGAGGCTAAAAGTCCAAGATCAAAGTGTTGGCAAGGTTGGTTCTTTCTGAGGGCTGTGAGGAAGAATCTGTTCGTGTGGCTCCTCTACCTTCTGATGGGTTGCTGTCAGTCTTTGGTGTTCCTTGCCTTGTATAAGCGTCCTCCTGATCTCTGGCTTCATCTTCACACGGTGTTGCACCTGTGTGTGTGTCTGTGCCCAAATTTCCCCTTTTACAAGGATACCAGTCATACTGGATTGGAGCCTACCCTACTCCAATATGACCTCATCTTAACTAACTAATTCTGCAACGATCCTATTTCCAAATATGGTCACATTCTGAGATACTCAGGTTTCAGATTTCAATATATGAACTTTTTTTTTTTATTGTGGTAACGTTGGTTTATAACATTATATAAATTTCTGGTGTACATCATTGTGTTTTGAGTACTATATAGATTACATTATGTTCACCACCCAAAGACTAATTACAATCCATCACCAAATATATGAACTTTTGAGATACACAGTTCAACCCATAACAGAGCCTAAGGAATTATCTAATTTAGTGCTTCTTAAATATTTTTTAGTCACTGAAGAAAGGCTGACATCATCTAGCATATCATAAGTATTCAATAATATTTGTTGTGATTCTTTTTATATTAATCCACTTCTTTCCATGGATCTTATGTTTTAAACATTAGTTTGTTAATCTATATTTCTTAATAATTGCTACCTTTAAGTTTTTTATTAAATGTAACAATATATTAACCTATAGTGCCAGAGCTTCTAATCAGCTGAAATGAGCACATGCTGTAGTAATCCCTTTTATTCTAAGACTAAGAAATTGGAAATTTTTATCAGTACATTCATTCTGTCATAACTAAATGTGTGGTTTCTATCAGGCTATCTGAAATGTGAGCATGGTCTACAGATGCTGAGTTGCAAACCACTTACAGGGCCTTATTTTACAAATGAAGGAAGAGTAGTCCATAAAAATAAAGTCACTGTTTCCCAGTTAGAAGCAAATTGCAACCAAATGTGACTAGAATTTATGTATTTTATTTCTCAGCTTAAAATTTATTTTCTTGGTTTCATACTGTTAATTTTGTTTGAGGTGAAACTTTATTAATAATAAGATCTTTGTAGTAATATTGCGGTGCACCATTTAGGACAACGTTAGCCCTGTTTCTGACCTTTAGCACGTCTTTCTATAGTGATAGTGTTGTCTAATTATTAAACTTTATTTTACTAGTATTGTGGAGAATTTTGAATTAGAACTTGAAAATGTCTGAAGATTTAAAGGAGTAATTTCATTCATTGTTTCTCATCAGTCCCATGGCTAAAACTATGATTTTGTGTTTTTAAAACCTGAGATTTTGACTTTTATATTCTCATGTAAGGTGAAAGTCCAGATCTCTTAACATTTAATAAACCTTGCACTTAGATATTTCTTTGTAGCCTCAGAATCTGAGTCTTTCCACTACCAAACAAATCTTCTCTGCAAATAAATCCCCCTTCTCATTGTTCCTCTTACTCACAATTCTTGAATTCTTGGAAAAATCTTCAAAGAATGTCTTCCCATTGTTCCTCTTATTGAAGTTTTTGAGTTCTTGGAAACTGATTCCTCTCAGTCATTTCACATGTACAGTGAGTTGCCAAATTACAACTTTTTTATTTCTTATAAAAGTCTATCTTTTACTTCCTTTCACTTTCCACAATACCATCGTTACTCAGTTCCTTGATTGTAGTAACAGCCTTTTACATGACCACTTTTGTACTACTTTTTAAGTCCTTGGTGGTCCTTCTCAATACAAGCATTGTACTCATCTTTCTAAAATAACTGCTTGTTTCATTCTCCTCCATGTAGTCCAGGTTCCTCAGTTGTCTACCTGTTTAAACCCATATTCATTTTTTGATTTTTAATTTGGATCTCCCAGTTTTTGATGCACATTCTTAATACCTACCAGTTTCTTCCCTGTCCTACAGAGTATCAATGTTCACAGTATTTTTATTTCAATCTTTTGATTTCATATTGTTTCTCCCATTCAGTCACCCATAATGATCTGCTCTTACCATGCCATTTATTTAAATTTTATTAAGCCCAATTTAGTTCCTGTCTCCATGTTGTTCTGATATTTAGTTTTTTATGGAAATAAAATTCAGATAACAAAATAAATGTTGTAAAGTTTACAGTTCAGTGGCATTTAACGCATTCACATTGTTGTGTGACCATCATCTCTATCTAGTTCCAAAACATTTTCATGAACCGAAAAGAAAATTTTCTGCCTTACAAAACCTTAAACAGTCACTCTCCACTTCCCCCTCTGCCTAGCCCTTAGCAACCACTAGTCTGCTTTCTGTCTTTATTGATTTACCTATTCTGCATAATTCATGTAAACAGAATCATGCAATATGTGTCCTTTTGTGTCTGGCCTCTTTCTCTTAGTATAATGTTTTTTTGAGATTTATACACATTGTAGCATGTATCAGTACTACATTCCTTTTTATGGCTAATTAATATTTACTTATATTTGTATACTCTTAAACATATTTGTAAACTATTGAAAATAAGTAGGTATTAATTCAAAATGTTAAGTGTAATCCCCAGAGTAATCACTAAGGAAAAAAAATATATAGCTAGATATTTATAACATAATGGATACACACACACAATGTTTTGTTTATGCATTCTTTCATTGATGAGTATTTGGGTTGTTTCCACCTTTTGGATATTGCAAATAGTGCTGCTAAGAACATTCGTGTACAAGTATTTGAATACCTGTTTTCAAATCTTTTGGACATATACCTAGGCATGGAATTGTGGATCATATGGTAATTCTTTGTTTGACTTATTGAAGAACCACCCAACTGTTTTTTGGAGCAGCTACACCATTTTACATTCCTCCTGGCATTGTGTGAGGTTTCCATCTCTCCTCATCTTTGCCAACACTTGTTATTTTCGGTTTTGTTTTGTTTTATTAAAAAATTATAACATCCTAGTGGGTGTGAAGTGGTATCTCAGTGTGGGTTTGATTTGCATTTCCCTAATGACTGATGATGGTCGAGCATCTTTTCATGTGTTTGTTGAACATTTGTATATCTTTAGAAAAATAATTATTCAAATTCTTCGCCCATTTTTAGTTTGGGTTTCTTGTTTTGTTGTTAGTTGTAAAAGTTCTTTACATATTTTGGATATTAAACACTTTGAGAAATATAATTTATAAATATTTTCTCCCATTCTGTAAGTTGTCTTTTCACTTTCTCAATAATGTCCTTTAATGCACAAAAGTTTTAAATTTTGATGAAGTCTTGTAGACAGCATATAGTTGAGTCATGATTTATTATCCACTCTGCCAATCTCTGCCTTTTAATTGTGGAGTTTCTGTTTACTTATGTTTGAAGTAATTAAGGAAAGGCTTAACTCCTGCCATTTTATGTTTTCTACCTATTTTGTTCTTTAATTCCTCTCTTACTGTCTTCTTTTGTGATTGATTTTTCTTAGTGTATCATTTTGATTCCCTTCTTGTTTCTCTATGTATTTTTTAATTTTGATTACTCTGATGATGTATCATCATTCAAGATGATACTTAACATCTTGAATTAATATCTACTTATTTTCAGTAGTGTACAAAACTGTTACTTTACAGCTCTGTCCTGCTCAAATCTGCTGTTGAACCTCTCTGATGAATTTTTTAATTTCAGTTATTGTACTTTCAACACCAGAATTTCTATTTAGTTTTTTTAAATATAATTTCTTATTTCTTTATGGATATTCTCTGTTTAGTGAGACATCATTTTCCTGTTTTTTTGTTTTTTTAAGTTCTTTGTACATTGTTTCCTTTAGCTCTTTGAACAGATTTAAAACCATTTATTTAAAGTCTTTGTCTAGTAAGTCCAATACCTGTGCTCTCTTTCTATTAATTCTTTTTTTGCTGTGAATGGACCATACTTTATTGTTTCTTTATGTGCCTCCTAATTTTTCTTGTTGATTTGTGGCAACTCTGGAAATCAGATTTCTTTGCCCCTACCCAGGGTTTGTTGTTGCTGTTTGTTGTGGTTTGTTTGCTTGTTTAGTGATTTTTCTAAACTATATTTGGAAAATATGTATTCTTTCTTGTGTGTAGCCACTGAAGTCTGTGTTTTGGTAGCTTAGTGGTCAGCTGGTGTTTTCACCTTAAATGCTTGGAGCCTAAAAAAAGGAAGAAGGAAAAAATACTCTCAGTCTCTGCAGATTGGCTCTGTGTTGGGGCACTACTTCAACGCTTATTTAGGCCATTTACAATTTGCGTTATCCTTCACTTTCTGCTTGCACAGACTCTGAAGGCCAGTCATAGGTGAAAGCTTTGGGTCTTTTCAGGCCTTTTCTGAGCGTGCATTCTGTCCTGGGTATTTGCATAGTCCTCTCAATTCACCAATATGGGCAAGAGCTTTTAAAGCCCCCTTTTCGCCATGTGTCGCCTTTCCCAACCATTTCCTTCCCAGGCTTTTCTGTTTATTGCTTCTTCAAATTGTTGTCCTTTGTTCCAGGCTGCTGTCCCAATACCTGTGCCTTTAAATCTTTTTGAGAAAAGCTGTCTGGGATGCTGCCCCAGCCTTGGGAATTACTCCGAGTTGGGTGAAACAAAGGCCAGCCTTTGTGCTGGTCCTTGAGGGAGTAGCCAGTGAAAATAAGGTCCATATTACTTCCTGGGGCACTAGCAACCTGCACCAGTTGTCTGCCAGCTGTCATTCTCACAACTGCTGCTGATCTGGGTGTGGGGAATGATAAATGGACAAGTTAAAAGACCACAGTGCTCCCTTACTGCAAAGCAGCAGTT